TTAATGACACTAATTTTAAAAGCCACAGTAAGATGAATTAAACGGAGCAGTAAAATAAAGCTCAAGAATGCTTAGCACGGAGAAGCTTACACTAAACAATGGGAGAGGGCAAAAAGAAAGAAGCAGAATACTCTTTCATTTCAAGATGAATTTGGGGCCAAAGGCAAATTTTTCCTAGTGTGAAACTGTGATGCTTTTGATCTTCTGGACTGAAAAACTGATATCCTGTGCCTCCAGCCCCACTTCCCCCAGCCTGCCTGCTCACTGCTAAAGTGGAGTTTTCACTGGGCTGAAAACTGCTTGTACATTGGCCATTTGACTTGCCAGCATTCCGCTCTCCTGTGGAAAATGTGGATCTTCAGCCACATAATGTCTTTCCATTAGTGATGGCTGTTCTCCAAAGTCGGGCTGTGGTTTAAACACAAATGGGCAGTGCGGGCCAAAATGAACGCAATTCTGAGTCTACTATCTTTAAAAGGTGGATCTGGAGGCAATTTAGTGAGTGTAAATTACAATTGACTTTGGAAGAAATAACTCATACACTTGAACCTCCTCAGATGTGGAGCCAATAGGGGGTAGCCAGGCTAACATGAAATTTTACACATCCGTCAGCTAAAGAAGAGATCCAAATGTAAAAATCTAGCTATCATATGGATTCGTAACACCCCCCGGAGGACTTGCGGCCCACAAATCAATGAATGGTTTATGCTGAGCCAAAAATGTACTTTCACAGCGCTTCTCATTTTCCTTAACCATTTCAGAACACCATATGTGAGAGGCGCAGCAGCCAGGGAATTGCTCCTGCAGAAGGCACTCCTCAGCGGTGAGAGGGGTACCTCGTAAGGCAGCCAAAGACATATTGTTGGCCAGCTTGTCAGCTAAACAATTGTTAGATAAACAATTATTTAGTCACCTTTAAAACTTAAGCCAGGGAGACATTTGCTTCCACACAGGTGTCTTGGTCTGTGGTGTTCTGGAAGGTATCAGACATGCTGCTTACTCCCCTTGATTCTCTTCTCTGATGTTACTCATCGGTGGTGGATTAGAACAATCAGATCTTGGTTACTGTCTTGCTCTCTTCTTTTGCGTGTGCGTGAGACCTGTTCTTCATCTTTACTTGTTGTCAGCGGCCAGAAATCCTTATGTGTTCACAGGGTTTGTTCTCTCTCTGTGTGCTCTCTATTTAAGGTTGCTGCACGTGAAATGTATTTAATTTAACTCTGCATATGGGTAAAAAGGACTTTTTTCGTAGCTAAACTTTTAAAGCATTAATAATTAAGTTATAAGCAGTGGCAACCGTGTATTAGCGACTAAGTGAATAAAATGCAGGGCATCTCCTTTTGGACGATGCTGTTGGCTAAGGTGATACAAATGACAAATACTTTTGCATTCTTTAAGATAGAAGTCTGTTGTTTATGTTTCTTGACTATTGACATTTTTCTATTTAGCAAACTTTGATGACAACATTTTACTTCACTGCCCGCATTAAAAAATAGTCAACTAAAATGTTCAAAACAGAGACTTATGTGGGTTCTATGTCGACTATTCTAAACAAGTAGGTCTGGAAGAAAAGGTATTTCTTTACAGAAATGTGTGACTTAGAATTCCAAGTTTGCACTGCATTTTATGTTTTTATAAAAATAATATATATTTTTGTATATATATGTATGTTTTGTATATATATGTATATGTATGTGTATATGCATATCTTTCTTGTCGTTATTGTTACCTAGCAATTCAGTAAGGAATTACATCCAGCCACTTGTAACAGGGATCTGAACAAAACAATGGCTTAAACAGATGAGGGCTTTCTTTTTCTGTCATGTAAAAGAATTCCTGAGGTTGGAAGTTCAGCGCTAGCATGACAGCTCCACAGTATGACCAGTGATCCAGAATCCTTCCAGCTTTCTGCTCTGCCATCCTTAGGTTAGGGGGTGTAACGCTTTTTGCATAGGCTCAGGATGGCTGCCAGTGCTCCAGCCTCACAGTTGAATTTCCAGCAAGAACATAGAGGCCAGGAAAAGAAGTTTTTCGATTGGGTCAGCCCCTTTAAAGGGCATTCCCAGCAGTCCCGTGTAGATCTCATTGACAAGAACTTTGTCATATGACCTGCTGCAAAGAAGGCTGGGAAAAATAGATTATTAGCTAGGCATATTGAAGTCTGAAATAATATCAGTGTTCTGTTAGTAAGGCAGAAGGGAAATATATATTGAATAGGCAGTAGTGCTGTTTGCACAGCTGTGGTTTGCAAGGTGAAAAACACAGGTACAGCACCAAGCCCGTAGGGCAATGCATTATGCAAATGCGGATGTCTTTAAGGTAATTTACACTTCTAATTCTCATGAGGACATACCAGGAAACATAATGATTACCCAATGTGTTTCTTCCTTTGCCCTTTCTATTCCGTTTGCCTGGAAAACACTTCCCCCAGGGATTTGAATGGCTTTATGCTTTATTCAGGCCTCTGCTTAAAATTTACTTCATCGCCGAGATCTTCCCTGACACCTGGGAATGGATCCAGGTTTTGCAGGGTCTGAAGCTTATACAATTCAGAGGCTCCTTTAAAAAACACAAGGAAAATTGTGAATATCAAATCAGATATTTACATATGAATGTGAGCATTGATTTGGAATGGGAAACTACAAGTTATACAATTAAGAAGTTTATAACTACTACAATAGAAGAATAACATGTTTTGTTAACTAATGATTAGACTCACCTCTAATGCTCCCAGCCCCAATTTTTGACTGTATTTCTTTTGATCCCCTCTACATATGATGACAATTTTATATCTTCTATAAAGAAAATAGAAAGATAACCCAGTCATTCCTTTAGTATAGTTTATAAAAACTTTAAAAAAAAGATCATCGATAATTTAGGGGCTGGCCCCCTGGCCGAGTGGTTAAGTTCGCGTGCTCCACTTTGGGGGCCCAGGCTTTTGCTGGTTCGGATCCTGGTCGTGGACATGGGACTGCTCGTCACGCCATGCTGAGGTGGCGTCCCACATAGCATAGCTAGAAGAACCTACAACTAGAATATACAACTGTGTACTGGGGGGCTTTGGGGGGAAGAAGAAGAAGAAGAAGAAAAAAGATTGACAGCAGACGTTAGCTCAGGTGCCAATCTTCAAAAAGAAAAAAGACAAAAAAAAATCATTGCTAATTTAGAAACAACTTCTAAACAACTTTCAGCTTCTAAACAGCTTGTCATTTATAATGTCGTGTAAATTTTTAGGATTTTTATCAAATTTGGGAAAACCTCTATCAAGTTTTTTTATATCTGCAACTTTAAGATTTTAGGGAGGGGCAGGCCAGGTGGCACCGCAGTTAAGTGCACACGTTCCGCTTCTCGGTGGCCCAGGGTTTGCCGGTTCGGATCCTGGGTGCGGACATGGCACCGCTGGGAAAAGCCATGCTGTGGTAGGCATCCCACATATAAAGCAGAGGAAGACGGACATGTATGTTAGCTCACCTAGTCTTCCTCAGCAAAAAGAGGAGGATTGGCAGCAGTTAGCTCAGGGCTAATCTTCCTCAAGAAAAAAAAAAGATTTTAGGGAATATCAGTACATTGATACCTTATGCATTGACTACTCTTAAATATTCTTTGATTGTGACACTCATTAACTTGTTTGCCATTGATGGCCTTATTGTAGTGGCATATTATTTAGAGTTTTATATTATCTTTGCTGATATCAGTTTTTTTGTGCCCAATTACCAAGTAATTAATAATGGCAAGACCATTTCAGGCTGACAGAAGATTCTGGGCAGAGGTGGTGTCCCATAAGGACAAGGAGTCCAGTGTAGGGGAATGCCATGTACAGGTAGAGCCACTGCAGGAGATAAGACTAGAAAAAGGTGTTGGAACCAGGTGGGACAATTGTCAAATGCTGGTATGTGGCTGAGGAATATTTTAAGTCATGATTCCTTTAAGTTAAAGAATGGAAGGCTTCTTATTGGAAAATTAAGCATATGAAAAGTGATAAAACATTGTGTTGAAGTTGGTACTAGAGTTGGACAAATCTTTGATTTCAGTCCTAGCACTGGTGCTTCCTGGTGTATTAAACCTTCCTAGCAATCCAGTAAGCAGGAATGACAGTGATCTGCATAATGATATCTCACTAAACCCAAACCAGATGTATTTCTCGCTCAACTTCCCCTTAGCTGAGTCCTAAACGTGCCCAAGACATACCCAACACCACCCACACAAGGCAAAGTGTGATGGAGGGGAAGATGGAGTGGAAAAAGACAGCAGTGTAACCAGTTTTGGTTAAAACTTCATGTGTTTGAAAATTTTACAGAAGTATATTGGAAAGACTGCATATGAGTGAGGGGCCCTGCAAATTCAGCTTCATCAGCTTCACAGTAAATCCACCCCTTTCAAAGTTACGGTCCTCTCCCCCAATACCTGTGGCTCTCCCACTCTCCTTGCCCTTCTTATGTTTCCCCATAGCACTTATAATATATATTATATAATTATGATATTAGCTGTTGACTTGTTTACTGTTTGTTGTTTAATTCATTTCACTAGGATGTAAACCTCCGTGGTGAGAGAGACTCTTACTGTTAGTGTGTCCCCAGTGTGAGAAAAGTATGTGGCACATAGGTATCTACGGAATGAATGAATCAATCAATAGCTTCACGGTTTTGCCGTGTTGTGTTTTTTACTTCTAAATCATATTTGGTTTTTTCTGTGTATGCAAAAAACTGGTCAAATGACTGTTTCTATACCATATTTTTGGCTTTAAGAAAGCACACGGGGGACATTGTTGGGGTGGAGGGTGATGGGGTGAGGGTGCCGAGGCCGCCAGGGCAAAGGAGAAATTTCCATCACACTTGAACAGTGAGCAAATGAAGTCCTCTAAAAGTGAGGCCATCTAAAAGATCCCACGGGTGGGCTAGGCTATACTTCTGACTTTCCAGGTCGCTTTAAAAACTGTTTCTGATAAGTGTGTCCTTTGAACCCTACAGTGATTTTATTTATGTTGCAATTGAATATTTCAGACCTCTTGCTCCTGCTTGCTTCTGCCATCCAGCATCTATCTGCTATCCTCTGCTCTCGGAGAGGCACAGCTGTGTGTGAGTCCCATGGAGTCTTAACTAAGATTGAAATCTGAGGCTGATGTTGGTGTTCTCATGGGAACAAGAATCCTGACTCTATGTGTAGGTACTACTCATACACTTCGGTCCCCTACTGTATAGAATTATTAAATAAAAAGTTGAAAAGCACTTAAAATCTGCTTTTTCACCATTTTTTTACAGATTGATGTACGGTCAAGGGAGGTAGAGCAGTCTGCTCAAACCAGAACTAGACCTCAGCTGTTCTGCTTTTCAGCCCATCTTCTTCTAACTATAATGCAGTGTTAAATTGAGAAGGATGAAGCTAAAGAAAATTTTCATTTGTTTTGCATTTTTACCTCCATGAAACTCGAGGTTTGTGGGGGCCTCTGAGCAGCAAGCTTCCGTCTTCTTTTGCGTTGAGGGTGTTATTGTGGTACCCGCGGACCTAGTGGCACGATGACTTCAAGAAGTTTTCCAAACAGCTTTGGTCTTCTTTCAAAGCTTGTGATAAGAAAAACTCAGATATGCTTTTGTGGAGAGCGGTCCAATGTCAACAATTTAGATCTGCTCTTAGAGTATTCCTCCCGAGATGTGGATCCTAGTGTTCAGAGCTTTAAGAGGAGAGGATGTATATGTGCTATATATATCACATTGCCATGGAAAGCGGTCTTCAGTCTGCACTTCATGTGGGGGAGAATTCATCAGTTTTTTGTTTTGTTTTTTTTAACGTTTGAAGTGTTTAGCCTTGAAAAGAATAAGCCTAAAATTATGTTCTAAATAAATAGTGCCTTTCTCCCTGATGCAAAACCAAATGCACTGTCAAACAAGCCAATTATTCATGAGCTTCCCTCACACTTTCTTTCTAGGCCTCCTATCTTTAAATTTTGTACATGGCACGGCCTCTACTACAAAGCAAATAATTTGGGTAGAGTAGACCCAAATTGCACTGGCTGATTGGCTCACAGGGATTCTGCAATGAGTTTATTTGGGCCCCAATCTTTAAGAATCCACTCCTTCTCCCTATTCCAGTGTTTTCCTCTGATACTCTTTCTTAAATCGCTTTCACTCTTTGACCACTGTGATTTGTTATGGTGGAATGTACCCAACCCAAGCTAGGCCAATTATAATATTTTACCTGCCTGCCAACTGTGATTGGTTTATTTGGGCCAAGTTCTTCCCTGAGATTTTTCAAATTACAATTGAGGAAAGAAAGCTTTTCCTCTTTGTCTGTGGAGCTTCGAGAATACAAGCCTGGCAGCTCCCCCAGGGCGTGCCTCCCACCCTGTGGAGAAAGAGGGTGTGCAGGAGGGAGAATGAAGCTGACAGAGGAAGCTACAGAGGAGCTGAGAGGTGGGTTCCTGAGATCAGGGCTTCCACTATCCTTCCTGCCTTTTGTTGCGTCAGCTGATTTCCTTTCTTCTCGCTTCCTTTTCTCCCTCCCTCCCTTCTTTCTTTTCCTCCCTTCCTTCTTTGTAAGCTAGGATTTTTGGATTTCCAGCCCTAGCAACCAGAGTCCTAGCAGATACAATAAATCAAATGTTTTCTTTCTATCTGGTAGTCTAAAACTCAACACAGATATAGCCAGGCTTTTCTTAACTCTAATGTGTTTTTCTGAATAGAATTTGGCCACATAAAATTTTTGCTGTTGTTTAAATATAAGAGTATTTGAAGGAAGCATATATTACTATGTTTCTACGGTTGGTCAAATTATCTCTGAGCAGATTGACATTGTAAGGGATCAAGAGGAGGGAGGCTGGAAATGATCCTTCCCCAGCGTCTATGCGACGGTGCTCCCTGAGGTACATGAACACAGCATGGACATGGTCCCCAGAATGGACTTCAGGTAGAGGCTGGCTGTGGAACTGGGCTCTGGGGTGTGGCCCATGAAAGGTTTGTTACTCAGAGTGGGATGTTAGGGAACTGCTATGTTGTGGCCCAGAGAGGATGAAACTGGACTTCCTCAGGTTAGGGAAGAGATGCTCTCCCTTTCCTAGATTGCTGGTCATGCCTGTATTCAGAAGCTTCTATGGTTTTCCTGCTGCTCCTCTTGCTTCCTGTCCCTCTACCAGGCCGGGCTTATGGGTGCTAATGTTCTCTTCAGTTATTCCTGCCCTGGAAAGAGAGTTTCACTCCTTTCTTTACTTTATTATTATTATTTTTTTTTTGGTGAGGAAGATTGGCCCTGAGCTAACATCTGTTGCCAATCTTCCTCTCTTTGCTTGAGGAAGATTGTGGCTGAGCTAATATGTGTGCCAATCTTCCTTTATTTCGTATATGGGATGCCACTACAACATGGTTTGATGAAGGTGTGTAGGTCCATGCCCAGAACCTGAACTGGCAAATCCTGGGCCACCAAAGCAGAGCACGTGAACTTAATCACTACATCACTGGGCCAGGCCAGCCAGAGTTTCACTCCTGTTAAAAACTACATGCCCTTTGGGGGTGCCCCAGTGATACAGTGGTTAAGTTCACGCATTCCGCTTCGGTGGCCCAGGGTTCGCAGGTTCAGATCCCAGGCATGGATCTAAACATTGCTCATCAAGCCATGCTGTGGTGGCATCCCATATACAAAAAACAGAGGAAGATTGGCACACATGCTAGCTCAGGGGCAACCTTCCTCACCAAAAAACCCCCACAAAACTGAAAACAAACTACATACCCTTTTAGTACCTTAAAAAATAACTTTAGGTGGGAATATAAAATGGTGCAACTGGTATGGAAAAGAGTATGGAGAGTCCTCAAAAAATTAAAAAGAGAACTACCATATGACCCAGTATTCCCACTTCTGGGTATATATCTAAAGGAAATGAAAACAAGATATCTGCACTCCCACATGCCTTGCAGCATTATTCACAACAGTCAAAAGGTGGAAGCAAGCCAAATGAGTATCAATGGATGAATGGATAAAGAAAATGTGCGTACGCATACAATGGAATATTATTCAGCCTTTAAAAAGAAAGAAACCCTCTCATGTGCTACCACACAGATGAACCTTGAGGACATTGTGCTAAGTGAAATAAATCAGACACAAAAAGATGGATACTGCATGATTCCACTTTACATGAGGCATCTAGAGTAGTCAGACTCACAGGAATAGAACGTAGAATGGTGGTTGCCAGGGGCCACGGGGAGGAGGAAGGCGAGAACTGCTGTTTAAGGGGTACAGAGCCTCAGTTTTGCAAAATGAAAAAGTCCTACAGATCTGTTGCACGACAATGCGCATGTAGTTAACACTATTGTACCGCACACTTTCAAATGGTTAAGATGGTAAATTTTGTGTTATGTGTTTGCTTACGAGAATTTCAAAAGCAGACTTCAGCATGGCAGTTGCTTCTTGTAAGTAGGGGCGGGGACAGTGTAACACATTCAGGAGTTCAGGCCTTCCTTTCCTTTGTCCCATGCTCAGTCTCTTTCCGTCTCTTACCCTCCGAAGAGGAGCCTGTCTCTGGATCTCGGGATTTTCCACTGAAGAATCAGAAGAAAGTGGGGAGGTGAGTAAAACAACAAGGGGCTGAAGAGCAGGAGGGAGTTACTTCTCAAGGGTTTCTGAAGAGAGAAGGAGAGAGACAAACTGGTGTAGGGAGATCAGGGCCACCGTTACCCCACACGGAGCCTTTCCCTGGATTAGGAAAAGGGGCCCCTTGGGATGGATGAAGCCCACCTGCTCAGTGGCTGGCACTTTTCTCTGAAGCTCTAGAGCCCTTCCTCCAAATAGAGTCCCATCAGAGCCATCTCTTGGCACGAGAGTGCAGGCTAGAGTCTGCTCCCATTGGCCCCTTGTGCACAAAACTATACAGACACTCTCTGGTAAGGGCAGCATGTGGGAGAAGAAAAGAGGTTTTTAAACAAATGTAAGTTTAAGTTTTTTAAAAAAAGGACTTATGATTTTAAATAAATTATGAAGTAGTTAAAAACATAACTCCATATAACTAATAATAGACCTCATGCATAGTACCAAGATTTAACGCATCGATGCCGTATTTTCTTCAGATGCAGTAGTTGCAGATATGTTCTTAGGTTAAATCCACTTTGGCGCTGTCTCATTCCTCCTCCTACCTCCACAGAAGTGAGCTTCATTCTGAAGATATTTATCCTTTCTCCATATATCCCTTTACCACATGTCTGCAAACATAAATAATATGTAGCATCTTTTGGCATACTTGAAAATTTTTGTATAGAAAGAGAGAGAGTATACTATTGCAACTTGCTTTTTGCATTCGGTATTATATTTTTGAAATACTTTCATCTGTTTATATGCAGATCGAGTTCTATCATTTTAACTCCTCTGTAGTATTCCATTGTATGTCTGTACCATAATTTACTTATTCATTTCCCTATTGAAGAACATTTGTGTTTGCAACCGAAAACGACTCAGTCTCTGCATGCGTGTTCCTATAAACCTGTGTGAGAGCAAGCCCATTCTGTTACTCCCCTTGCGCAGATAGAACTACTGAAACCCCACATTCTCGGGGGAAACGTTCATGTTAGGTGCCTGTTGTCAGAGTGGATGCACTCAGAACAAAAAGAAAATCCACTCTTTTTAGAAACTTTCTGCGCCTGCCCCTGCCTTCCCTTCTTCTTGGCATTCTTTCTCCCCAGGTGCTCCCTCCATCACCAAGGTCATGACATGCTTTGGTTCCTCCATCTTGCAGAAACATTGTGCGGAAGGGAATAATGATCCTGTGTTTACGTTTGGAATGAAATTTAGCCCCAAGATTTTCAAAACCTTGATGACAAGGGTAGAAGTAGGACAAAATATTATTTAAAAGCTTCAGTTTTCTCTCTTCCCAGGAGTGAAATGGAGACTTGAATACGGGTTGGGGCAGACTATCTCTTTGTCTGGGACAAGCTTTTCTTTCTTTCTTTCTTTCTTTTTTTTTGAGGACGATTAGCCCTGAGCTAACATCTGCTACCAATCCACCTCTCTTTTTGCTGAGGAAGACTGGCCCTGAGCTAACATCCATGCCCATCTTCCTCTACTTTACATGTGGGACACCTACCACAGCATGGCTTTTGCCAAGCGGTGCCATGTGCGCACCCAGGATCCGAACCGGCGAACCCCAGGTGCCGAGAAGGGGAATGTGCACACTTAACTGCTGCGCCACCAGGCCAGCCCCTGGGACAAGCTTTTCCATGAGACGTTAGTTGTGCAAACTTAAAGCAGTGATTATAACCAAAGGATGCTTGAGACCAGTGGCTCCAAGGAGCTCCAGATAAAAACATAACATATTGTCTAAATGGTAAGTAGAGTTACATCTCTGCCAATACTGCTTCTTGGGCCAATTTTATTTTCTAAGCAGGATTGATACTGTTTTGTGCTTGGCTAGTGTTGTTACTGCTTGTGGAAATGGATAACTTCTTTTTTTTTTTTAAACAAGGACAGTCTAGTTGGAGCTTAGACATACAAGCTGAAGGAATTGTTTCCATGAAGCACTTTGTACAACCCTGGCCACAAGCAGGGCTACATTGTTGCCAAAAATTATTTGTTGAATAAATTAAAACAGGCTCCCCATGGCCTCTGGGATCCTGTGAAGAGATCCATTCACAGGAGCTATAGTAAGGATTCCTTTTTGTGAGCAGGAGAGCAAGGGGACCGAGAAAAACAGATAATAAGAGCACAGAGGCAGTCCTCTGGCTCTGGTGGGGGAAACCTTTGGTTAGCACCAGAAATAATTGGGAGATGTCTTATGGGGGCACAGAAATCAATTGGATAAAGAGACACATTGTAATTTGAACACTGAGCATTAATACAACCTTATTGATATTCACAGGCTGTTGAAGAACGTGTCCG